AATGGCATTCTGCTGCATGCTGTTCATGCTTCATTGTTGTGCAGCCCTTCGTGCCGAGTTGGCACAGCATCACAATGCTGTCATGTTTCTACCAACACAATAGAACCTAGGGAGCACTACAGCTGACTAGAAAGTAGGATTGTGCTAGAGCTGTTGGCATAAAAACAGTCCCCAGAATAAAATAGTAAATCAGTGCTCTATCTTTCCTAGGCTAGTCTGGGAACATTCATAATCTGTAACGCTGAGCAACTGTGAAATAATCCCATTATCTCTGAGGCACCAGGGATGTGCATCCACATGTAACTAAAGTTTTCCATGGTCACTGGCGTGACTTGAAATAGGTGAATTTTTTGCTTTCAAAGGATCGTTCAGATTCTTGCTCTGCCCTGGATTTCTTATTTGATTTATGATCCAAAAGCTGGAACTCAATGAAAAGACTCCCATTGATGTCAGTGAACTGTGGGTGAGGCCCTTACTCTCTCCATCTCAGTTCCCACTCTGTAATACTCCCCTAACTCACGGAGGTGTTGACCACGAATCCGTTAATGGGCACTCCCCCACTACAGAGTGAGTGCCATAGAACTACCTATGACAGATAGTGAAATGCCGAGTAGTTTTCACTTTCCAGTTCTCCAGCCCCAACATAATACTGGTGTATCTAGGCTTCCAAGCCTGCGGCTGAACAGTTAAAAAGCTGTAATCACCTTAGGTTTGTAAAATAATTCCCTTCCTCTCTGAACCAATGCTTTTGGACCTAAACTAGTTGATAGTGCCCCTAGAACGGAAGCCAATAGATCTATGTATGTCCAATGATGCGGTGCAATATAGTGTATTCCGCTTTGACAACGGAACCTAAGCACTAGTGTGTGCTAGAAGAGCAAGGTAGGGGTGTGTGTGTGTGTGTATATATGTCTATATAATGTGGAAGGTTTCATTTGTGAGCTGGGTGAGTGTCAAATCTTGCCTACAGCCCATTAGTAAAAACCTGCTTTTGTTCTCTTATTTTGAAACAGTGAAATGTGCTTTCGGAACTGCATCCGTTTCAGAATCAAAATACTTCTTGTTCTGCCTTCGCTGTCAGCGTAGGAAGAAATGCTCTGAGCAGTCACTCAGTAAACACTCCTGCGAGAGTGATTCTTGTGACGGATGCTCAACTTTCCTGTAGCTTGTAACTTGGACAGTGGCTGTCACTAATTTTGGGATAGCTGCTTTCTATCCCGCCCAGCCCTTGAATTTGCATGACTGGTACTAACATTCAGAATGTGGCTAGAGTTCAGGAGCCAGCAACAGCAGGGGTATGGCTGAGGGGAAGCTACAGTGCAAATGTTGAAGAGTTGTGCTTGTTACCTTGACAACAGCTCCATTAACATTAACAGGAATAATAGTGACAGTTTGAAATGTGTAGAGAGGAGAACGTGGGCGTCCTCATTGAACAGGTTTTAAAACTGAGCTAGCGCTGTCTCCCTGATCTCTGTGCCATAATACAGTATGAATGTCTCGGTGGAACGTGTCCTCATAGGGTTCATGGGAATGCCCACATCTGACCTGCCGAAAGAGAGATGTGACAATGGTTGGAGTTCTACCTTTATTCCCTTCCCTTGCATTATAAAGGCTTTAAAGGGGTTTCAGTAAATACAATGTTTTTTTCCTCCTCCTCCTCCTCCTTTCAGCTATTTATATCATAATCTTTTGGTATTGCTGAGAAAGTGTTTATGTATCGCAGTAGCACAAGTGATGGGCCAGGGCCCCATTGTGCTAGGTGTTGTACAAGCACCGAACAAAACATCCCTGCCCCAAAGAGCTTATTCAATTGCAAGTGAAGGATTGGTAGCCCTAGAGATGAAAGGCCTCACTTTCTCCATGGGGTAGGGGCAGTTTCCACCCCACTCCTTTGCCAATCTGCCTTGCCCCTGGACATCCCCCATCTAAGGGTTTGTCTTGACTAGCATGTGTGGTGCTGTTTTAACTTTAGTTACTATGATTGTGGAGTGGCTAGAGTAGCATTTACAGACTTTTGTCCCAGCTCTGGTTTGCCTTGGGCTCAGCCTAGGTTAACCCCCGCAATGTTAACCTTGCATTTGTAATACCATTAACTGGTAGTCAGTTAGCTGCTGCTAAAACAGGTCCACAAACGATCCTGGGAAGGAGAGTGTCCAGGGTCCATGGCATATTTAAATCCTTAGTTTACAGCCTTCCAAATAGGGTATAAGAGGATATTTCTCATTCTATGCTGGTGAGAAATAATGTGTAATTCAGGCATGCATATTAACTGGGTGTGAAGCCAGAGAGCTACAGTGATTCTGACTTGTGCATAATTTAAATGGTAAACTAATCACCTTTTAAAAAGTGAAGCAGTTAGCTTATTAACAGGTGCTAACTACACCTGCCTGGTTCTTTTGGTGAACTGTGCTGCCAAGAAACCAATTGTTATTTCTGGGCTCTTCTGGTTGAGGTGAGCTGTTTACTATCTTATTGAAAATGGACGCGGTTCGGCAGTGCTAGGCCTAGGCCATTGTAGCAGGGGCCTCAGAGGTATAGCTGACCTTGCATGAATTTATTTTAAGGCTGTTAATTTCCAGTTCCAAAATGTCTGGTTTTGACAGACAGACATAAGCTAGAGCCACCTTCTCTGAATAGTTTGCTAAGAGTTTGTGACTTGTGGGTGAATATTTTGTAAAACGTAAGTACAACGTGTAGTGTGCTATATTTATATGGTCATGTATGTTACAGATGCTATGTAAAATATCAATAGACAGCACCTGTGTCACACTTTGGGGACCCAATTCTCCTCTTGCTTATGCTAGTTTTTATTCCCCTGGGGGGTGTGAGCACCACGACTCCTGTTAGAGGACCATGTTGCTTGGGGATTTTTCATTCTTCCTACATGGGTATTTGCTTACTTCTGCAAACAAACAATGGGGGTCAAAATAAGGGTATCTTTCTCTGTTCTGATTGAGATGGAGATAAGACAAACCTCTATTGTGATGTAGAGGCCACCCCTATCCACAAGAGCCCAGACTGGGGTTCCTTCTCTTAATACATCTCCTATTTGCCTCTTAATCTCCTATATACCAAACATATAATGGAGCCCCCTTACCTATTTCTTCCAATCGCTAATGCTCTTACACCCCATGCTTTCCTCAATAGCACATGAGTGTTTTGTTGCGTAGTTGGACCCTGATTTTTCAGAAGTGATTTGTGGTTGTGGGTATTCATCCTGAGGCACATTTCAAAAGTCTCTAGCGTTTTAGGTGGCCAATACTTTCTAAAACTCAAGCTCCTGTCATGTGTCTCCAGTTGGGTAAGCAAGCTCACTGGTCACATGAAAATCTTGGCCTTTAGACACCAAAGATCTGAAAAATAGGATTATCCTTCCCCCCGCTCACCCCCCCCCCAAAAAAAATTACCCTCCCCTCTTTATATTTGGTGTTGTGTATTGCCCCCTACTTTACCCCTCAGCTACCAAACTACATCTGGTTTTACTTGCTTTATGTGCTGGTCGGTTTTATGAACCAACATTTTCAAACAGAAGTGTAGTATGAGTTAAGCTCATGTTATCTCTTTCTCTGAAAAGCACTAACTTTTGACCTCTGCTGTTAAGAATAACCATTTTGCAATAAATGGCACATCTTTAGACAGGTTAAAAGCTACCTTTTGTGTACAGTAGGGAGCTGGAACTCCTAGGTGTAACCAACTCAGGTGTGAGTTACAGACTACAGATTGTCCCAGGCTAACTAGAATTCAATTTACGACTGGTTGAAAGTTGTTACTACTGCCTGTTCAAGCATGTGTGAAGTGAATTTGAGGGGGTCCTGGTCCACTTCCTATGAAGCAAAAACAAAACCCCCTCTGCACTCAGAGCATTAATTATTCCTCTTATTAGTAGTCCTAGAAGAGAGGCCAAGGCGTGAAGGTGGTCATCAGGGGAGAACTTTCCTCTTAAACCTGTATGGCGTATATCTAGCTCACAGTCGATCCCCATTAGTAAAGCCACATCTGGGAAAGCTTGGCTAGTGGTTTTGTGCTCCACCTGTTCTGTGGTTAAGGATGATGGCTCAGTGTGATGCTATACTGAAAGATGGCAGAAAGTAGATTCCACAATGAGAAGGGGATGAGAGGCCCTTGATTGACCAGTGCTGTTTCCAAGCTCTACGTGCTCTCTAATTATGAAATGCAACCTAAAGCTGGTAGACTAGCACTACTGTGCCTTTTCTTTGTAACTTCTGTTTGTATGTTTTTCTTAAAGCCCTAGGTCCTGGTGTTGGGTGGCCTATGAAAGATAATACTTACTCCTGTTATGAGTGCAAGGGCGCCTGGACTAGATGACTTCTCAAGGTCCCTTCCACTCCTATGATTAGAGTATGTGCTAGGCCTGAAATAAAACAACTCCCAACACCCCCCATCTCAGTCTTTCATGCCTGTGAAGAAGAGCTTGAAACACTAAAGAGCTAAACTTTTTTTGTGTGGGGGGGGGCTGTAAATCACATGCTGATTTTGTTTGAAGAGGTGGGGGGGGCGATACTGCCTGTGTCTAAGGGTTCAGTGCCCTATAGTAGCGTGGTTATAGCTGGTACCTGTTCTCCTGTGAAGCAGGGGGTGATGACAAAGGACCCTCTGCCTGAACAGCTGGCTATGGGCTTTGCTTAATTACTACCTGCAGAAAGAGCGGGGGAGGGGAGAGGTGGAAGTGATCAATTTCTCATATAACGGCTGCTCGACCCAACTTGGCACCATTGAAACTACGTTTCCCATCAGCCCCTGGGGCTGCCAAGTTAGAACGGCGTCACGTGATTACTGTTAGCGATGGAGAGGCTGCATCCGGGTCCTACTTTTCCTTCCCCTCCCTTCCTCCCCCCCGTAACGACCACAACAACCAGAAGGGAGGAAGCGCTAAGGCCTGGTGGACATCCGCCCGTGCTGGTTACAGAAGCACCGCCCCTGCGGCGAGCTGATTGGGCAGCGGTTGTAAGAACGGCCGTCTCATTGGTCAGTGGGAGTGAGGGGATGTCACAAAGGATAGGTAGGCGCGGCGGCGGCTCAGGGAGCGAGCGACGGCGGCGCAGGCGGAGGGGGTGGCTCCCCCTCCCTGTCTGTCCCCTTCTCCCGGCGGCGGCTCCTTCATGAGGGCGCCCAGGGCTGGCGGCAGGTTCCCGTGAGGAGCGGTGGGCGGGGCCTGGCGCTCGTCTCCCGCTGGCCCCCGCGCGGGCCCGGCGGTAGCGGCAGGTGAGACCCCCCCCCCAACACACACACACCCCGGGGCCGCTCTCCTGGCGAGGCGGGGAGCTCGCTGCCGGAGCAGGGGCGCTGCGCAGGGCCCGGGGCCGCCCGGCAACGATCGCTGTCTTCTTTGTTTGCAGGCGCCTCTCGCTGCCTGGCCCAGCTCGCGGGCTCCCGCAGTCCCCACGGAGCCGGGCGGCGCGGGGCCCAGGAGACGATCTACCCAGGCGCCCCTCAAGGCAGGATCTCGCCCTGCTGCCAGGAGCCCGCTCGGGGTTCCGCGTGCGCGGAGCGAGCACCGTCCTCCTCAGCTGGGGCAGGGGTCAACACTGGCACCCGGGGGATTGGTGCTTCCTAGGCACGTGCTCGGTACAGCTCTTGGCGGGGCTGTGACCCAGTCCCTCTTCCGGAGCTAAAGCTTTGTCTCCGGTGGTACTGCTAAATTAGCACTGTTTGTTACACTTTTCTTTCATCGCCTGGCTGTCTGCCTTGTGGGTTTTAACTACCGTTTTATTTAATGATTCCTTGTGTTTAAAAGTCAACAGCGAGCGATTAGTTTGTTAAAGAGCGCATCCTGCCATTGCTAAAACTGTCCTTGTGTTCTCCGTAGGTGCAACATTTGAAACATGAACAGCAATACGCGTTACCAGTTTTCAAAGCTGGAACACAGTTGTCTGCGACGTTTCCAAAGTAATCTTTACACAAGGAATTTGTAAATCCTTTGTAATGGCCAACAAGAAAGAACCTCCTTTCTTCAATGATGATAACGTGGGACCGTTTCACTACAAACTTCCTTTTTATGAAACTATGGAGCTCTTCATTGAGACACTTACAGGAACGTGCTTTGAGCTGCGAGTGGCTCCCTTTGAAACAGTGATTTCTGTGAAAGCTAAAATTCAAAGATTAGAAGGTACCTGTCTCTCTCCTTTATAAAGTCAGCACATTGTATATCATTTTAAAGGAAAAGTCAACTTGCAAATGACCCTTAATTATAATTGTGCTGAAGATCAAGCTAGGGAATTAATGTAAGTGGGTGATGCTGTCCATAAATTAGTTTGTAGCTAATGGTTTAGTAACCTCTGGTTTAAAGAGACTTCTGACATTTCCTGTAATTTATTCCTCCTTGTTTTTGTACATCTTGCTAAGGTATTATAAGGGCACAGTTTATCACTAGTAAAACTTTAACAATTTCTCCTTTTTTGGAGATATTATTCACTGTGTCAGAGGATTATCTTAGACACAACTTTTTGGTTCACATACTAGAGTTTTAAAGCATTGGAGTTTTAATGTGAAGAAGCTGCTGATTTGTCTTGCCTATAGTTCACTGGCTGTTTCTAGGTATAGTCAGGAGGTGGACTCTGCTTTTTCTTAAAGTGACAAAGTTGCTGCATGTGTTGAAATTAAAACACCTTTGATGCTGATCTTATTCTACAGTATGTAAAAACTATATTCAGTGAATGGGGACTTATTGTTAACTATTAGATCTAAAGCACCATGTGAAGTACGGCCCCATTCCCAGGAGGCCTAACTCTAAGGATTAAATCTACCTCCATGAAACTTTGCAGTGGTGCAACTAAATCAGTGGCTTTGCACCAGTATACAGAAGGATTTGCACCAGTACGAAAGTCAGCTGTGCTGCTCTAAGCCCCATTTTGTGCCAGTTTAGCATGTCTACATTAAGAGTTTTTACCAGTTTAACTACACCAATGGAGTTATACAGATATGAAGTCTAATTAAGGCCCTATCTACATGAAGGAAATTCACAAATTCTTTAACATCTTGTGGAGGCTGTGGGGATACGGGTTGCATGGTGAGTGGAGGGAGAGGTTCTTATGAGGTGGTTGTTGTTTTTTTTTTCCCCATCATGGCTGAGTATGGTGGTAGAATGCTAGCCATATCAAGTGAGTTAAAGGATTTGGGGGACAGGAGTCAGTTGCTTAATGCACAGGAGCAGGAGAGCTGCTCCAAGAAGAGGAGGAAAAGGGGCGGCAGTATGTAAGGAAAAGTTCTGGAGCTGTAAGTGGAAGAAGGAAATAGCATATTAAGGTGAGCGGAGCTGGTGGTGGTAGGGAGAAAGAAGAGTAAGGAAAATGGAAATCTGTAGAAGTCCTTGAATGTGGTGAGGAAGAGGAACTTGAATTTCCTGTAGAAAAAATCTGGAGGCTAGCGAATAGGCATATTACGCTAGGCATATCTAACTTGTGGGAAGATCACAATGAGAATTTGATTATCACTAAAGGTTGTGTTATAGTTACAAATAGTGCCACTTACTAGAACTTTATGATTTACGAGATGCATTTCTCAGAGTGGGAAAGTGGTAAACTGCTTGACATTCCTGAATAATGGGTCTGATTGTATAGGCTTTAAATTACTGATAAATATACTCCACAAAAATGTGGAAGACACAGAAGTCCACCAGTGCTCATTTCTGAAAATCACTTGTATGGCTTAGTGTTCCAGAGTGGGGCTAACAGACCCCAAGATCCTCCCCAATGTGCTGTGTAGGGGCAGATAGGCAATTTTCCCTGACTTGCAGTTGATCAGCTTGTACATGTAAATAGAATGCCATGGTGAAACATCCCATCTTACACTGTAAATGTAAGTTACAGGCAAGTAATTACCCCCATACTATTGTGTAGGTCAGGATCTCTGAGAAGGAAATACAGAATCTGGGATTTCTGTGAGGGAAATCCAGAATGACGTTAACAGTTCCCTTACAAGATTTGCACTCAACAATGGTCAACTATAACAAATGCTGCTAGCAGAATTAAAAACTAGCAAAGAGAACTATTCTTTTGTCCGTTGCTGTATTATCAAGAGACACCAGTGCATTGTCTACACTGTAACCAGGCCTGAAAACAGACAGATGGGGACCAAGTAAATATGAATATTTCAAATACTGCCAAAGCCACTTTCCTACTCCCTATTTCATAATCTGACCTTCTTGGGCAGGTTTAGGGACGTGGAAATAGTTGATGTCTGCTTTAAGAAAGCTGGATATCTCCCCGAGAACAGCCCCAACACCTCTCTGCTGATTTTACCTGGTATGAAGAGCACAGGTAAACTTTGATAACAGGTAAGAGCCCAAAGTTCCTTTAGCACATCTAAATCCTCAGTGTGTGTGTAACTGCTTGAAACTCAACCAGAGCTGATGTGGTGATCATGCCTTTCAGCCGCAGATCTGTTCCCATGCAAATCACAGCAAACTTGTAAGCAAAGATTCAAACTTGTCCTAGCAAATTACACTTGATTATCTTCAAGGCAGTGACAACCTGGATTCTTGCTTCACCCAGAACAGTTCAATTGAATGAGACTTTGGAGATGCTGTAGTGAAAGAGAGAGCCTCATTTGTCTCCGATAGCAATGGCATAAGAATTTAAATGCTGTCCTAGTCAGTCTTCCTTAGAATAGGACTACTATCAGCAACAACCTCCACCTCATCAGTTTCGCTTCCTGCAGGAATCGTATATTAAGGTAGAATGCTAGGGTGTGTAAAAAACAGCATATTGATTGATCATGGATGTGACAATAAATCACTCTGTAGATCTAGATCAGACTAACGCAAGCAAAGTGATTATAAAGTGGTAAGATTTTGGACTGCAATACAATGAAATTGTAAATATGAATTCTTATACTAAAACCATACTGAGGAGACTGGAATAATTGGTTCTCTTCTGTTGCTGTTGGACTGAGAGTGATCCCTACCCAAGTCTCTCTAATGGCCCCGCAAGTGAACCTTTTACGTTTGTAAAGTCACCCCTCAGCCCATAGTTGTCTTTCCTTAAGGCAAAATACGGAACATTTTATAAAAGGTAGAACCAAAAAAGAGAAAAAGTGTTCTTTTTAGAAATGTTTCCTCCAGTTCTCTTCATATTCTGTATCACAAGTGCATTACATGTAAACAGCATCAGTCTTATTTCTTACCACTTAAAGTCATAATCAGCTGGTAGTTACTTTTACGGCAACCTATTGTGATGTCACAGAATTTATTTCAGTTGAAAAGCAAGCAGTGGGAGTGGATTGAACTCTGCAGCTTACTCTGATTTCTTGCAGAGGCAAGCTCCACCACTGCAAATGGTGGGACTGCCTACGCTGGGGTTTATATCAGCTGTAGAAAGTAGTTCTGGCTGCTGGAATCTTGTCTACTCCTCTTGCTGTAAGAAGGTTTAAAACTGGCTTGCATTTTTTGGAAACATTTCCCCAGTGTAGATAGGGTCTCCTAGGCAAAGCAAAGATTGCTTTACCAACTCAACATCTTCAGTCAGGGACAGTAAATGTTAAAAAGTCAATTAATATCCTACAAGGACTTCTTCCAGCAGATAGTCATGCCTGGGGAAGGGTTTCGCAAATATATGATGAAAGTTCCAGTTGTATAGATTGACCTTCAGATGAATATTTGGGGTGATAAAATGCAAGGTGGAATAAAAAAAGGGAACAGGCTATTTAGTTACAATACTAAATACAAACCTGTTTCCTGATCCACATGTTGTGGGGTGGAGGAGATGTTTCTGGCATCTTAAAGCAGGTACACTAAGGAAACCTGGAAGATGTAGTGAGACAGAATGGGATTGAACTTCAAGGGCTGTGTCTGACAGGCTGGCTCCAAGAGGGGAGAAAATGATAGTGTTCTGTATAGCAATGTAAATTATGCCTTTGAGGGCAGAGAGGCGGGGAGAGGACCTGGATTGCTCCCCTGGCTCTTGCAGAGCAGGTTGTCACTTGGAGCGGCAGTAGATGTTTGGAGAGAGGTAAGACCTGAATTTGCCATCACCCCCACCCCTGAGCTCCAGTTGGCCAGCTGAGCTGATGCAACCTTGAGATATAGCTGAGCCCTACTTGCTCGGTACTGATTAGAACTGCCCAGTAGCAGGGCCACATGCTTCATAGGACGAGGGGGCTCTGTGTGATCCTCATGATCATTGCCAGCTTTATATTCCGAGTCTGTATGCAGATGTCTCATAGAAGGTAAACTACAATCCTGCAAAAGAACACCTAATGCAGCTTTCCTTGTATATGAACCTACAGAAACGGATACTACTTTATTTGCATTTTAAATGTAGGATTTATAGGAAACAGCATAAAAGTGAGTGTGTCTATGCTTCCGTTATTGCAGACAGTAAAATTATTTTCTTTTCGGCATCCCCCACCAAAAAAAAAAAGTACTGTCACCTTAAGAAGAATGAAAAAAAAAGTCTGATTCCGTGGGATTCAAGTTAGGTCATTTTGTCGCAAAAGAACATTTTGTAACAAATGATCTATTAGTTTATCAAAGTAATTGGAAATCACCCCTTCAAGGCAGACACAACCATGACAAATTCAGCCAATAAAGACTGTGTAACCAGAACTGTTAAGTTGAAAACCATTTTACTATAGAAGACTCACTGTTTTTTGCCAACTTGCTTTTGCTCATGCTGCAGACTTTAAATATGACCAATTATTAAATAGCCAGCTGAAGAAAAGGCATGTGTTGCTCTATCATGTGAAGGTTTCTCCTTCATGTGTGACTTTGTCAGATTTCAAATGGGCACAGCACTACTGTCATTTCATGCCTTTTTTTCTGGCTGAAGTAAAGATATGTTGGCAGCTTCTAATGTTGAAGGGATAAAAGCGACCCCTCCCATAACCTCATGGGGACATTTCCTGTAGTTCATAATTTATTTTTAAAAAAATTGACAGTTGCTCCAAAATGTGAGCTCTGCTTCAGAATTGTTCAGTAGGCCCTGTAGCAACAGTGAACAGATACCGACTGGCTCTTTTGTGCCCTGTTCATGCTCTGTTGTGTTCTCAACTCTTGCTAGGTGTGTTGACTGCAGTGCTATGATTTTGAGAGCTTGATTCTATTCTCATATGTGCATCAAACATAATTGATGACTAAATTCCAATTTGAGGGCCAAAGTCTTTCCTCAGATATACTTGTGCAGCCTCAGTGTGCAAGGGTTGTAAATCTATGGGCCAAATTCTTCCCTCGCAGTTTATCTTGGTGATGCAGAAATCAGTAGTCAGCTTGACTTTCAGTTTGCTGGTGAGTTTACAGGGGTGGCAGCTAGAAAAAAACCATCTTGTTGATATCCAGAATCATTGACATGATATATGGAACCCTTTCTGTCATTTTATCACGCTGTGACATCTCTGCTCAACCCAGTTTTACTAGTATTTGTGTCTTGCTCTGATCTGTTGTTACTGTTCCAAACCATTGTGCTGTATCATAATATTTTGCAGCTTATATTTTTCAAAATACTAGGCAGATCTTACAAGGCATTTGGTTATCAACATTAATCATTCTTCCTGCTCTTAAACAACATAGTGTTAAAATTACACATACCTGGGCAAGATCACTTCAAAAACAAAGTTATGGAAGTTGTATCTTGCTGCAGTTTATCACAGACGTTGTACAGTGTTCCATAATGAGATTTGTGGAGGTGGTGAGTTTGGGGTCCTATGGTGTCATAACTGAATATCATACATATTTGATGCCAGTTGTATCCTCGGTCACTTACTGTGTCTTTCAGTTGACATAGTGTACTCTAGGTTATCAAGCAAACATTACAAAGAACTCATATTGTGTATTACACTATTCTGTACCCTCACTTTTGAGTATTAGAATATACAAGTAAATAGAGTATTGAGCATACAGACATTAGAATTACCAGGAGTAATTTGGTGTATTTAGTATCTGTTGTTTTACTGAAACTGCGTAGAAATGGTTCTTATGAACTATAAAATATTTGAGGCTTCTATCACCAAAAAAGCAAAATTGCTCTTCACTGTTAAATGCAGGAGTTGTATTTTTCTGTTATCCTTCATACTAGGTATTCAAAGGTCAATAGAAACTAACTTATGATCTGCTTCAAATATTTGAAATGTTAGGATTAAGCTATTAAGAACAAACGTTATGTGAGCAACAACATAATGTAAAGTTTTTTGTTCGGTGATATTATTGTAGGCCAAAAATATATAGTAAGGAAAAGATCCGTTTCTCACAAATTGCCTGTACCTGGCAAACGTGCTACTTTTTGTCAGCTTCTTATGAACACTGTGCTTCTATCTGTTTAAATTGCAAAATACCCTATTATATATAAAGAGAGCTAATCATTAGAAAGTTCATGTTACTGGTCACTTAGGAACTTCTCATTCATCCAGATCTACAAAGATTGAGAACGCTTATATACAGTAACCCTCCGTTATTCCTCTTTGTGGTCATAGTGATTCTGACCCACATCTGCCTTCATTGACAAACATGCACACTCATCGTGTTCCTATGGCCGAAACTGAGGGCTGAATTTGACTATGAAGCAGGATGAATTAAAATCATCAATTTAAAAAATCATTTTTACTCATTTACATGCTGCTAGTTCTTTATTTCCCGTTCTGTAGTCTTAAATTGCTAAAATTGAATGTTTTGTAGCTTCCTAATTGCAAGTAGAATTTCAGATTTTACTATTTTTTCCTATTAAAAAGTTTCACACTTAAAATGTTGCTGTATGCTGATAAAGACCAAGTCCATGGCCCCATTAACAGCCTGACCATCATAAACTCAGACACCATATTGATAAGTAAATAGACCATGCTGTATTGGTATTCAGTATCACCTTCCTATACAGTATATTGAAGTGCCTCAAGTGAAGAAAGCTGAAATGTTTCACCAGCCCATATATAGTCTTCCATCCGGATTTGCAGTTTGAAGTCCATGACCCTTGTGTTTCTACGTCTTAGATGTTTCTGAAAATTCCACCCATTGGCCCCAGCCGCCTGATTTAAATCACTCGATCCTGCCAAGGAGTAGTTACATCTCTCTTTTTACTCTATCAGTTATATGCAAGAACAGCATCCTCTTCCATATTTCTTCTGTCACAACACAACTCAATTTTCAGTGTTTCAGAGGATGAAGGGAAGTGTACATACTACAATGTAATTTTAATGTTTGGCTATGAAGAGCCATTTGGATAAACATCATAAATTCTTATCTGAATGTATTCATAAGGCCAAGTAACCCTTTCTCAGTGTGTTAATTGTCCTATGGAGGAATCTTACTAGTGCCAGGAGGAGCGCAAACCATAAAATGGGTTTGATTTTTTTAAGTTTCCACCTTACTAGGCCACTAGGAAAAGAATATGTATAGGAGCAACAGAGATGCAAAAGCTAAGGATTCTCCACTGCTGTGTTTTGGGAGGTATTTGCATGATTTAGAGAGTGCTAGCTTTTTGCGTCCAGTGCCATGACCCTTGTGCCTCAGTGTGAAGATTAGTGTTTCCACTGCTCCTGCAGGCAGGCAGTATGTGGTTTCCATATAGTTTCATTCTACTTACTATATTTGTAGAATGTTTTTAATGAAGTCTTAAAATGTACTGTACTTTGTATGGGTCATTTGGACAGAATTGCTTCCACCTGACACTGTTAATTTTCAAAGGCCCAGCAGACGGATCAACATGCTAACTGTGATTTGTGCCTTTGGCTATCTACCTTTCAATCTTAAATAACTTGCCGATTACAAATATTTTTCCTTTCAAACTTGTGTCTGGTTGTGAGTTTACCCAAGAAATCAAGACTGGAAACTGTCACTCTCCTTTTAGGAAGGTATAAAGGGTCATTACTGAACTCTGTACAGTTTGCTTTAAATGGGTGTCAAACTATAAATGAGTTGTCCATACACATGGAGGGAAAACAAAGTTAGCCAGCAAGTGAAACATATGACTTCCTGTAATTTCCAGTGCAAAACACAGACCTCATGTACACTGCTGCTTCTCAGCACTCAACCCTGTTTCCTTTTAATAATACGCTGTCATGTCAAATTTGTCCTAAAATGTTGGTGTGGTTTAATAACAAGCTTTTTCAGACATAAGACTAGTAAAGTGTTTCTGTAATTTAAAAAACAACCTGTGAGTGTTTGCAGTGCAAAATTTGCACAGCCGTGGATCCTGCACTGGGATCTGAAACTTCAGATTTAGCAGACACAGAAGTAAAAACACTATAAACTGGTGAAGCCTGGTCTAACTAGGGCTGCCATGGGTGGGCAATCTTTATCTAAAACACTGAAGTGTAGCCATTGGCTATTATCCAAGGTAAGGGATGATCTGACAGACAAGTTTCTGTATCCGTAACTGGTCAGAGCCAGAAGCCCTATTCTAACTTGCTGCCAAGGCTCAAAGACCTTGTCTACACTGGTGGCAGCATGAAGGATACATGCTGCTACACACAGCAGTGAAGGGCAGGCTGTGTCCACGCTGTGGCATGTTGCTATACAAGGCAGTGAAAGGCTCTGGCAGGTGGGAGGCAGTTGGGAAAGGCTTGAGCAGCAGGGACCCCACTGCTTTTCCCTGCCACTGGAGTCTTTCACTGTGGTGGGGAAAGGCTCTGCTGGCAAGGAGGCAGCAGGATACTACACTGCTAAAAGTGAAGATGTGGGAGGCACTGTGCTTGGGTGTGTAGAAAGCCATGTAGTGTGTGTACAATAGGGTTCTGGCATGTCTGTACTCACCTAAGCAATACCTCACTGGTTACACAGCTAGTAAGGGTGTAAGCAGCAGGGCATTCAGTGTCTGTACGCTGCACACTGCCATAAGTATAGATTTACTCAAAGTGTGTGCACAAGATTCAGGGGGTAGGAACTGGATGACTGAAATACCACAGAAGCATTTGGGAAGCCATTGAGTAAGGCCACATTTGCTGTAGCTTAAGATGTGCTACGGTAGTATGGGTGTGCCTTCCTGAGTTGCAATGCACCTCAACTTGCAGTGTAGACAAACCCTAACTATGGGTGGTAGCTCTTTAGTCTAAGTTATAGTCCTTGCAATGTATTTAAATGCGTGCCTAATGTCTGGCAAGTGGTGTGGCTGGAAAACTCAACCAGTTTTTAGTCTCTCTGAAGAAGATTCTACAGTGACTTTATACTAATTGACTTTTAATGTTGTCTTTTTGAAGGTATTCCTGTCTCTCAGCAGCACTTAATTTGGAATAATGTGGAGTTGGAGGATGACTATTGCTTGAATGATTATAAGTGAGTATAAGATAAAACTAAAACTAAGTGTTCCAAATATAACTATTACTATTGAAAACTGAGAGTACTACAGAACTTCACCTTTTTTGTTGACTATTTGCAGCATTTCAGAAGGTTGCACTTTGAAGCTGGTACTGGCTATGCGAGGTGGGCCTATTAACACTAGAAGAGGTAGGTACAAGTTTGTTTGTGTTGGTTTCATGTGACAAATCAAGACAGTCTAATAATGACTCTTACACAAATGCTCATAACTGTAGACCATTGTATTTTAGTCAAGCTTTTTGGCTGAATGGACTTTGATTGTAAAGGAATTGAAAGATTTTTGAGGAATATATAAGGGTCTCTTCACCCATCTTTCATTTGTCATATTTTGTGTTTTTAAAAGCCATTAGCCCAAACCCATTAGCCTAAAGGAAACTCTTGATGTGAAGTTGGATTAGACTTTGAAAAGTGAATATTGCAATAAAACTATTGACTTGGCTGCCTCACACATCCTGAACTGCATGTCTTACAGTATAAATTTAATGTTACAATAAAGTATTAATCTATAAATTTAACTGGAAAAGTTGGAATAGATAATATGTACACGTTATGGTGGGATTTCCAAAGGAGACTTTTATGGAGTTGGATGCCAACTGAAATCCCCAAATTCCTAACTAACATTGAAAAATCTCTGCTATCATGGCTAAGTTCCCATTCTGTTGGAATGGTTAAATTCTGCATATCCTAATTGTGTAACGTGAAATGTGAAAATATATTATGCGTTGGTAAAGGGACACATCTTAAAAATCATGCTTGCCTAAAAATGTATCTTCTGGTGATTTATAACACTAAGATTATTATTAGCAAAGTTATTAGATTATTACTTTTACTTTTTTTCATTTAGCACACTTGTGCATAGTCTGTCGAACTTGGACGTGGGTGCTACATGTTACTAACTCACTTTATAAAACTGGCTATATTTCAAGTCAGTCTGCCTTTTAAAAAAAAAAAAAAAAAAAAAAA